AGAAGACGCCATTTGAACTCTGGTGGGGTCGCAAGCCAGATCTCAGTCACCTTCGAGTATTTGGTGCTGATGCTTTCGTGCACGTTCCGGAGTCCAAGCGAAGCAAAATGGAGAGCAAAGCCCGCAAGTTGATCTTCGTGGGATACTCGATGGAGCACAAGGGATACCGGTTCCTCGACCGTGATACGGACCGTATTATCGTTAGTCGCGATGCTCGCTTCATCGAGTTAGGCAATGGATCATCGTCTGCTGAGATTCCGGCTGCTGCTTCGGCACCGATGGGACGCAAGGCCGCTGATGAAAATGTGGAGTTGTTGTTCAAAGAAGAGAACGAAGAGAAGCCAGTGATTGATGAAGATGATGCAGAACAAGAAGAAGAAGAAGATCCATTGAAAGTGAGGCAAGAAGAGGCGAGAAATGATGATGAAGTGAATGAACAGAGCGAAGATAATTCGGATGAACCAGTGCAAACCTCAGTTCGTAAATCTTCACGGCAGAACCTTGGTGTTGTGCCGAAACATTTGGACAATTATGTGCTAGACTTTGCCATGAGTACAGCAGCATGCGCGGTAGAAGAGCCAACGGACTTTTGTGAAGCTGAAGAGAAGCGCGAATGGCGGGATGCCATGAAAAATGAACTTGAATCGCATCGACGCATCGGTACTTGGGAGCTTGTCACGCTTCCCGAGGGTAAGAAGGCTATAGGCTCCAAGTGGGTGTATAAAGTGAAGAAGAACGAACTGGGACAAGTAGTGAAGTGCAAAGCCAGAATAGTGGCGCAAGGTTATTCGCAGAAGTTCGGAGTAGACTTTAATCAAGTGTTTGCTCCGGTGACACACCAGACAACGTTCCGTACGTTCCTTGCGGTGGCCGCGAAGCAGAAGATGGTTGTATGGCACGTTGACGTTAAAACAGCGTACCTTAACGGAGAGCTGGACGAAGAACTCTACATGCGCCAACCGCCAGGCTATGAGGTACGGGGACAGGAGGAGCTGGTGTGCCGCCTGAAACGTAGTATCTACGGTCTGCGTCAGGCTGCACGGTGCTGGAATATGAAGCTGCAGGAGGTGTTAGCGAAGCTTGGGTTCACACCGTCGACCGCAGATCAATGCTTATTCATCAAAAAGGTAGGCCCTCTGAAGATTTTTATTCTCGTATATGTTGACGATATGCTAGTGGCATCGACGGACGATACTCAGGTCAAACATATAGTTAACTGCTTGAAGGACGAATTTGAACTTACGTGCCTGGGAGAAGTGCGTCACTTCCTGGGTGTAGAGGTACAACGGAATGACAGTGTTTTCAAGTTGCGTCTGCCGATCTACATCGACCAACTAATCGCTAAGTTTGGTATGGACCAGGCGAAGACTGCAAACTCTCCGATGGACCCGGGGTTTGTGAAGACCGTGGATATCAGTGAGGATCTGGCGGATGCTACGAAGTACCGGAGTTTGGTAGGAGGAATCCTTTATTTGGCTGTAACTGTGAGACCAGATCTTGCTGTCAGTGCTTCAATCCTCGGGCGAAAATTTGCCAAGCCGAATGAACGTGACTGGTCAGCAGCTAAGCGCGTATTGCGCTATCTGAAAGCGACACGGGACTATTACCTTTATTTGAATGGAGGTGAAGATTCCGTTCTTTCTGGTTACACAGACTCCGACTGGGCAGATGATGTCGAAACTAGGCGATCGACTTCCGGTTTTGTCTTCATGTTTGGAGACGGAGCCATCTCATGGGCCAGTCGGCGACAATCGTGTGTCACGCTCTCCTCGATGGAGGCCGAGTATGTGGCCCTAAGCGAAGCATGCCAAGAGGCTTTGTGGCTGAGACAGCTTCTCCGTGACTGTGACGAAGAGCAGCAGCATCCCACTGTTCTGAAAGAAGACAACCAAGGATGCATTTCATTCGTGACGACGGAGAGAACCAGTCGTAGATCGAAACACATCGATACGAAGGAACGATTTGTCGAAGAGCTGTGCATCAACAAACAGGTGGTACTGGAGTATTGCCCTACTGAATGGATGGCCGCAGATGCATTAACAAAACCTCTTGGACCATTGAAGCTCAAGCGTTTCCGTGAAATGCTCGGTGTGATGGAGCAATCGAAAAACGCGCTACATTGAGGAGGAGTGTGGAGAAACAATGGTTACGCCCTTTTTGGATATCACGCCACATTTCATCCCACCCCTCGATCTGACAACCCATAAAGAAGATAAAGTGTATTCTTTTAGTCGAATAAAATTTTCCCAACCGCGTACATTATAAACGTTTTTTACTCTTCAATAAATGACTAATGTAATTTGATTTCTCGCGAGTGTACTATTACTTTCCTACCGAAAATCCATTCCGATTCGCTCGCTAGTGTTTGTCCGCTTCGTTGGTCGTGCTCTGCTGGTTGTCCCATCATATCCAGCCACCGGCGAATTCACTTAAATTGGTGAAAAAAGACTTATTGTTTGTCATGTGCGCGCTGGCACCACTGTCAATGATCCAAGATTGACACGTTTTCCCAGACACCACGAACGCAACTCCTCTGTTATCACTTTGCGCCGTTTTTGCATTCACTCCACCCTTCCTTGATGCACCTTCATCTTGCTTCTTCAACAGCCGACAATTTTTTCTGAGATGCCTGGCTTTTTGCAATAATGGCAAATTCGGACCTTCCATGCACCACCCGAACCACTTCCCGATTTATTTTCGGCGGAACGCATCGCCTTTTCCGATCGTGTTGTAGCACCGTCACGTTCAACCCACCGCTGGTGCTCATCAACGACTTTCGACTTCACAAAATCAATCGTTACATCGTCCCCAACGCGACTATCAAGCGCCGTAACTAGTCCGTCAAACGACGGCGGTAAACTACGCAACAACAAGCAAATTTTCGTGTCGGCGTCTAACTCTGTACCAGTGGCGTCGAGACGGCCGAACAATTCCTCGATTTCCACTAGGTGCTGTTCGGCGTCACCTCCTTCCGACAAGTTTGACGCACAAAGCTTCTTCAGAATCGAAACGCGCACTGAACGGGACGATTTTTGTTGATAATTTTTCAGCGCCGTATACACATCGTACGCTAGCACACAATTTTTCGCAACCGGCAGCTGGCTGTCCTCCAGCAAGAGGATAATCGTCGCCTTTGCTTTCCGATCGCCCGTCTTCCACGCAGCGATACGATTGGCTTCACCCGGGGGAGCATCCTCAACAACGCTCCACAAATCTTCCCGGCAAAGCAAACTTTTGACTCGTATTTTCCATGAAGCCCAATTTGTTCCGTTAAGCTTCGGAATCGAGAATCTAGCGTCCGCCATCGTCAAAATCGATTTTCACTCACACGTGGTTGAAAAAAAAATGGCTTTCGCTCGGGTCTTTCGCGATCACTATCTCAACACTTCGCACGCGGCGGCAGCAGCACAAAAAAAATGGCGTCACTCCGGGTCAAAAACTTTTCACCAGATTTCTGTTCGATCCCGCTGGGCCCTTAACCTGACGAAACCGACGGTAGAGTCAGGGCAACGAAGTGGAATATCAGCGGACGGATTCGGACCTGTTATGGAAATAATGGAACTCGCGAGAAATCACTTTAACTACGTTTATTGATCGAGCGCAAAATACAATGCAACCGAACGCGGTAGCAGTTACTTTTGGAATGATAATGATGTTCGTTGCCTTCTCTCTCGTACCCCGAGTGGGCTAAGATATATAGAGAGGAGTAGAGGTGGGTCGAAGTGGCAACTGTTGTATCGTTCCACAGTTTTTACATTTCGTAGCCCTCATAACTACCACGTGAAGCTGTTTTTGGCGATTTGACGTAGACGTTTGGCGATTTGACCAATCGTTGAGATATTGTCAAAAGTATAACACTGCTTGTTGACGCCAAACTCGGCCTACGAATTCTAAACTCGGCCTAACGCATTGAAACGCCAATGAATTCACTTCGGCCTATCGGATGAAGATAAAAATTGATTCGGTCGAAGCGTTTCTTTTGTTTTTGGGAATAATAGGTGCAAACCTTCATATCATGCGTTCTCATTAACTTCGTTCCGTAGCTTATTAACTGAAGTATCGTACCAAACGCAAAATTGACTTGTTAACTCTGAAATCATGGATTTATTTGAAGTTTTCTGCTCGATAGGCCCAAAATGGGAGATCAGGCCGAAGTAGTTCTCTACCCTATTAGCAATTTCTTCATTTATACCTATTCAAAATGTTCCTGACTCATGTCTGTTATGTACTTCACTATGCAAAAAAATCTTCCGCCATCTAGCCAGGAATCAACAGTTTTCGGTAGGTGAGCGTTGGTTATGCACAAACTATGAGAAGTAAACCAAACATGCACCGATAATAAATAACAAATCCTCACGAACTTACATACCACGAGCTAAATCTTCCATGTACAGTAACTAAAGCCTGTGCGGAATATACTTGTAGGTAGGTATTTGAAAATCAATATCTCCATTACCCAAAACAAATCCTCTACTAATGTGAACATAAAATAGGTCTTACCAGTTTTCAAACTCCTCCATATTTTGAAACACCTCCCAAAGAAGCTTGACATTTCAGTTCAGATTTGTAACCCATAGATAATAAAAAGTAAAAACAAAAAGCATCAATTAAAAGTAAAAATGGGTAAAAACCCTATTCACGCTTACTGCGATCCTTGCAAGATGACCTTCGCCCCTCCTCCGCACGAATTACGCTCGCGAACCCCCGCGCATAGGCAATAAAACACAAATCAAACTGGCGTAATCGAATTGATTGACGACATAAGAGCGCCTGCACGTATACTACTAACCTATTCTTCGCCAAGAAGTTGGGTATAGGCAGAGGTAAGGTACCGCAAATGGTGCCAAATTCTTCGTCTCATGACGGACACGGGCATAGGGAGGAAACGATTGATTTGCCTTCATTATTATCCGTTGAACCATCACGCGATAAGCATCTCGCTCGCGTTGCATATCCTCGCCAAACTGAACGAACCGGAATGGGACCAGCTGAGGGATATTATGGATCGCTTTCAATACTTCAACCACTGGACCGAGGAACAGCGACGGGACTGCTTCGGTCGAGCCAAAGTTCGAAACTTTAAGCCCGAGGAGACCATCTTCGCTGAGGGACGCTCCCCTATAAACTACGTTCATTTCGTGCTTAGCGGACGATGCATGGTGCTACAGTGCCTCAAGCTGATCAAAGTGAGTTGATTAATTGACGTTGTCTGTAATTCAAAGTGACATAAAGCAGATTCATTTTAATATTCCACTAGACCGTGACCAAATATGGAAACTGCCGTTACCATCTTGCCGATGCACAGCCCATAGAAGATGAAATCACGCAATTTTATCGCAGACAAAACTCACGAATGGCTCAACTACAACAATCTACACTGCAAACTGCCGATAACCTTCGCCTTCCGGTGGACGCACAGCCATCTAAACAATCATTACAAAGCCCAATCAACTACGAGTGCCATTTCATAGACATAGGAAGCTACGCGTGTGGTTCGGTATTCGGCGTGGGCGAGCACATGGACGACCGCTCGGTGGTGGCCCGGAACCAAGTCCAGTGTCTACTGCTACCGCGCTATTGGCTGCTGCAGAAGCGTCAGAATGTCAACAACGTGTGGAGTCGCATACGAATTTTCATCGAGCAACGGCAAATGTCGCGGCCGCAGCTGTTCGATTGGTACCTAAAGGAGCTGCGCTGGCGACGGTATCGAACTCAACTCAGGCAGGATGTGGTTTCACAGCACTTGGCGACCCATCCGACGGCCCTCTGCGACGTGCCGACTATGTGCAGAATCGAGGAAAGCGATGTATATGCTTGAGAAATGGAGAATATAAAGCAATCAGATATTTACGAAATATGCAGTCTCTGTAGTACACTTACACGTTTTCTTCTTTCTTTTTTTTTGTGAATTGAAATTTTAATATCGTATACCCCCGCTTATCTGAACAACACCTTAATCCGATGTTTTGTTTTTTTCGGTGGTTTTGTTGTGTTCCAGAACCTACACAGCAAAAAAAATGTAATAGGTATCGATCAACGTAATTCATGCTGATGTAGGACATAACGTAATAGCGAAAAGCAGGTGTAGTATAAAGGTGCGAGAGCATATAAAATAAATAAATAAAATCAAATTAGAAAATAATAATTGTGTTTTAATATCCAGAATAGAAAATACGCAGTCATTTCCCCATTAATCAACTGGTAACCGCCATACTGATTATAATAATAATAGTTATAAGAATATTTGAACTTCCCTAATGAGATTGAATTCTCCTTCGCAATCTCTGATTGGTTGAAGTGTAAAAGCCTTCAGTTATTTAAACAGGGTGTACTGTCCATGTGGGTCATTCACCAGTCATTCTCTGCTTGATCGTCAAGCAGTTCAGTTCGGTGTTAGCTCGCTCTCTCGAGTTGTTTGAAAAGTTCGTGGCGATAGTGTTCGCGCTCTCTCTTTCACGGTTTGTCCTGCGTGTGTGTGTACCCCGAAATGGGGAAGCATCGGTCGCGAAGCCCGGCGAAGGTCCAGAACCCCGGTGAAGGAAGCTCCGGTGTGCCTACCTCGAACAGGTTTGTTGTTCAACCCATGGATGGGAATATCCAGCCAGCTGTGTTGGAAAAACGCAGCAAGAAGAGGAAGAAGAATCGAGGCCAGTCCGATGTCACTGCGACGAACGCCAGCGACATCGGTGATTTCGGCGACGCCATCGGCAACGAAAATTCTGCCGGCCCGAGTGCGGGAAAAGTGAAGCTACCTCCATTGGTAGTGAAAAATGCCCATCTTAATGAGCTCATCGCAGATCTAGCGACGCTGGGCGTTAAAGCCGAATACAAGTTGGGCAGAGCCGGCACCAAGGAGGTGCTCCGTACCAAAGCGGAGTATGACTTGGTCGTCACCCACCTGAGGACTTCCAAGGTGGAATTCTTCACCCACGACATTCCCGGTGAGAAGCCATTCAAGGTCGTCATTAGGGGCCTACCAAACTTCGACCCGAAGTTTATCGAAGCTGAAATCAGAGACCGGTACAAGCTGGCCCCAAGTTCCGTCTATCGGATGACAAGGAAGGACGAAAACGTGAAGGCGTATCCGGATAGCCTTTTACTGGTACACTTCCAGAAGGGAACGGTGACGCTCAACGCGCTGAAGGCCATCCGCTCCATCAATTCCATCATCGTCCGCTGGGAGCCATACCGTGGCGGCCATCGTGATGTGACTCAGTGCCAACGGTGTCTGAACTATGGACACGGCACCCGAAACTGCAACATTAAACCACGCTGTGGCAATTGCGCTCAAGACCACGCCACTTCCGACTGCCCTGCGGATGGAGCCGTGGAGTTAAAATGCGCCAACTGTGGTGGTGCTCACCAAGGTTCCGACAGACAGTGCTCGAAACGCGAGGACTTCAAACGCATCCGAAAACATGCGGCAGCTAACAACCAACCAGGACGCAAGAAGAACAAAGTCCCGGTATTTCGGACGGAGGATTTCCCGCCTCTTCGTGCTCCTCAGCAAAGGCAAGCGAATTCGCGGGTGCATTCCACTCAAACAACTTCTGGTGATTCTGCTGGCCAAAGCTCTCCATCCCCCCTGGATTCTGGAGACAACCACCAGCGCAAAACAACAACCCCGATCTGTTCTCAGCGGATGAACTGATGGTAATTTTCGTCAACATGTCCGGTGCTCTTCGTAAGTGCCGCAATAAACCCGAACAGATCCAAGTGCTCGGTAAGTTCATCATCCAGTATGGCGTCTTACCCGCGAACCATCGCTACCTGGAACGCTTGCTCTGTAAGAGCAAAACAGATTGAGCTTGCCGACTTCCTCCGCAAGCACAGCATCGACGTGGGCCTTCTAACCGAGACCCATCTAAAGTCCGGCGATAGCTTCTGGTTGCCTGACCACAACATTATCCGGCTTGATCGCACCAGCTCCAGGGGGGGTGGTGTAGCGGTCATCGTCAGAAAGGGAATCAAGTTCTGCACTCTGCCCCACGTCCGCACTTCTATCATCGAGGCCGTTAGTGTGGAGGTGGAATCACCAACTGGAAACGTCCGGTTTATCGCTGTTTACTGCCCACGCCAGTGCACCGCCAACAATGGACTAGGAGCTCAATTCAAGAACGACCTGACCGCCATCACCCGTACTAGCTCCCGATTGATCGTTGGGGGTGACCTGAATGCCCGCCATGAAGCTTGGCGGAACTACCAGCGGAACCGGAATGGATGTCTATTGTTCGACCACGCACAACATGGACTGTACACTGAGCAGTTTCCGGACGAACCAACTTTTATCTCTCCGGCGGGAAATCCGTCCACCCTGGACTTTTTCCTGTCAAACATCGTACTATCCAAGCCGGAGGCGCACAACGATCTCAGCTCCGACCACCAACCGGTGGTGACTGAAGTCGGTGTCAACGTGGTTCCTGCTAGAAGCTGCCTGCGTAAAGACTACCACCATGTCAACTGGGTGCAGTACGGACGAATGGTGGACAGCAACATCGATGAAAATCCACTGCTCGACACTGTAGATGACATCGACCAGGCGTTGGAAGGACTCCAACAGGCCATATCCGTGGCTGACGAGGCGTGTGTTCAACAAGTTCCTGTGAGGGGTAAGTTTGCTGCTATTGATTCCCACACCCAATTATTGATTCGATTGAGAAATGTTCGTAGACGCCAGTTTCAGAGGACTGGAGATCTGGGCAAAAAACGTGAAATGGCCGATCTGAACAGGCAGATTGCTTCCAGAATGGACTCACTCCGAAATAAAAATCTGGACGACCGCTCCAGACCATTCTGAAAACTCATCCCAAACCCATTCCACCTCTCAGAGTCGAAAATGATGACGATCGGCTTTTAATCACCCCACAAGAAAAAGCAAATGCGATCGGCAAGCATGTCGCTTCATCGCATTTGCTTGGCTCGACTATACAAAGTCCGCTCGATGATCAGGTTGCGCAATGCGTTCATAACCTAGATGTTTCCCGTTGTATCGTGCCTCCGGCGGATATGATTACAGTACAACAGATTTGCTCAGCGCTGAAATGCACCAAAAACATGAAGGCTCCCGGGTTTGACGGTATATTCAACTTGATCTTGAAGGGACTCAGCATGAAAGTGCAGTCTCTTCTAACCGCTATCTTCAACAGGTGCTTGGAACTGCACTACTTTCCACGCATCTGGAAAGTAGCAAAAATCATACCAATCCACAAGCCCGGTAAGGATCCAACATTGCCTTCAAGCTACAGACCAATCAGCCTCCTTTCAGCGCTGAGCAAATTGTTCGAGAAACTCATTCTCAATCGTTTGCTCAAGTTTGTCGAGGAAAATAACATTCTCCTTCCGGAACAGTTTGGGTTCAGAAAGGGGCACTCCACCAATCACCAGCTAGTGCGGGTGATGAATAACATCTCAAGTAACAAAGCTGTATCCAAGTCCACAGCCATGGCATTGTTAGACGTTGAGAAAGCGTTTGATAATGTCTGGCACAATGGGCTTGTATACAAGCTTTGTAACTTCAACTTTCCATTACATCTGGTTAAAATCACCCGTAACTACCTCCAGCAAAGGTCGTTTAAGGTATCGTTAAATGGTTGTCTTTCAGAAACGTTTTCCATTCCCAGCAGGCAGTCTGGCCTTGATGTAAATTGGACGAATTAGAGTTGAGGGTTGTGTTATAGAGGTAACTCTAAGACCAGAAGGTCCCGAAGAAACGAACTAAACTTTTTGGCTCAGCTCTGGTACTATCTTCGGTTCTAAGCTAATCGATGCACGCCTCAAAACATAGGAAAATCCACGAACCCCTCATTTTATCTCTCAAACTTTCATAGCGAATAAAAAAAAACATACTGTAGTACTAGAATTTCGACTATAATGGGATATGTTAATCGATTTGCTTGGGACCAATAGGTTAGTCAAGTAGTGACCCAATTTAAAATCGTTAGTTTCCTTTATCCAGCATTTTACGAGCGCTTATGGCCGCCACAATCTGGCTGAGTTTTTGGTAGGGAACATATGATTTGACGTTTGGGTTGTGTCGTTTGACGTGTAAACGTTTAAATTTGATCGTTTACACGTCAAACGACACAACCTAAACTTCAAATCTTATGTTCCCTACCAGAAACTCAGCCAGATTGTGGCGGCCATAAACGATCGTAAAATACTGGATAGATACTATAGATTCCATGGATAGGCGGAGGAAAAGTTTAATGTAGCCAAACGAACTGTCAGTTAGTGTAGCCAAACGAGCATGACGTCACCATGGTGTGTTTTGAGGGAGAAGTATTGTAATATTATGAGCACAAAACGCTTTAAAAACTTCACATTCCGATTTATTTCGAGGACAACGGAAGAAGGAACGATAAAGCAAACCATTCCTCAATACATTGTTGCAAAGATTTGCTTTGCGCTTCATTTTGAACTTTAACGCACGAAACAAAACAAAACTGCACAACGAAGAGCTCTATGATGGCACACAGCAAAAAAAATTGTTGAATATTACATCGAAACTGCTGCAACCAGGTCAATCCATCGGTTATGTAATATTACATTGTACGATGTACATCGATTTTGCGAACAAAATTACATCCATTTATGTAATATTGTATCTGCTTTTTGCCTATTACATCATTATTTCGTACATCAGTGAATTACGTTGATCGATATTACTTTTTTTTTGCTGTGCATGAACTTTTTTCACGCATGCCAGTAAGATCATTTATTTTTCATGGTTGCCAAAACAACTTTTTGTGCCTCCCGAGGGGGAGGACCCTAATAAAAATAACCATAAAAGAAAGCTTAACGACGTGTTCGGGGTATCAT